AGGCTGGTTTACAGCAGCTGGAAACCTGCTCCAGGAGTGGGGTTTGAAATGGTGCAAACCAGAGGCTCGAGAAGGAAAATGAAAACATTGCCCGCTCTGCAAAGAGTGCGAGATGCATTTTTCACTGTGAGGGTGGTGAGACACTGGAACAGGCTGCCCAGAGAAGCTGTGGATGCCCCATCCCTGGAGGGGTTCAAGGCCAGGCTGGATGAGGCTTTGAGCAACCTGGGCTGGTGGGAGGTGTCCCTGCCCATGGCAGGGGGTGGCACTCGATGGGCTTTAAGGTCCCTTCCAACCCAAACCATTCTGTGATTCTATGATTCTATGCAACACCCCAGAGAGGAGGAAACATACAGCCAGTACCACAGTGGGGCAATCCCATCTGGAGGGCCAGCCTGCCCCATCGGTGTCTAGCACAAGGCTCTCCCAAGGAAAGAGCAGCACTGATCAAAACAGTACATCGGGCTCCCCTGTTCAACACCATCATCAGAAGCATTGATGTCAGTTTGAAATCCCATGCTGCCAGCACACCCTGCTCCCTTCAATGGCTGTCCCCACGCCTGGCTCAGCATGTCCTCCTCCCATGGCTCCCTCAGGACCAGCCACTGCCACCACTCTAGAGGAGGAGAGAGAACCGTGACACTTTCGCTCTGAACCTTGAAGGGAAAACAAAGATCCCAAAGGAAAACAAAAGGAATCCAATTGTCAGCCCCCTGATGTCCTAAGGGGTCTATGAGGAATCTGCTAGGAGGTCTTTCTCCAAGGGTTTTGGAAGCTGTAGGACCCTCTTACCCCTGGTGTAGAGAGTGGAGAAATACAGAAGATCAAAGACACACAAATGCACACACACACACACACACACACACACAGAGAAATACGTGTGTAGGTATTTCTGCACAACCTATGAAAATCTAAAAACCAAAACAGAGCACAGTCTCCTGATGAACGTCAGCACTGCATGTGATGATGTTGTTGTTGTTGTTCTCTTCTCTTTTTCTTGTGTTGTATTATTAAATTTGTCATTACCTCAACTCACGAGGTTCCACCTTTTGTTTTCTCTTTTTTTTTTTTTCAACTCTTTTCCCCCATCTCACCAGGGGAAGAGGAAGCAAGCAGCCACATGGCGCTCAGTTTGCCGAACAGCGGAGTGCCCCTACTTACGACACTGGAGTAGTAAATTAACCCTGTCAACAGGTAATGTTCAGTCTATAGGGACTGAAATCCTGGTCTGATTCTGGCATTAGAGCTCTCTTAGTGGCCACCTCAGAAGGATGGAGGCAAGAATGATTGCTCTAGGGGAAAAAGTGATGTGCCAGCACAAAATGTCATAATAATTTTCTTAAAAATGACCATAAATTACTTCATGCAGCAGCTAGTTAATGAATTTACTGAAGAAAAAACCACCTGTGGCTCAGGCCCAGGCAGTCTGCTGGATCTGCTTTGAAATTTAAGCAAAGCCAGTTCGCAAAAGTCATCGCAATGCCCCTGGGTTGGAGCAGGAAACATGGCAGAGCTGGATCTTGTTTCCAAAAGAGTAACTGCCTAAGAAAGAAGATACTTTTTTAAAATGAAGATTTCTTTTGAAAATACAGTAGGAAGGATATACACCCGTAAGATCCCTTGCAGGTCACAAGGCAGCTATTTATGGACCATTGCTAGGCTCTCTCGGCAAATGCATGCCACCTGCGAGCAGAGGCGAGTTGGCAGGATCGAACTGCAGGCTACAGCGAGGCTGCTAGAAATAATCATGGAATCATCGAATCATTAAGGCTGGAAAAAGACCTCAGGGATCATCAAGTCCAACTGTCAACCCCACACCACCCAACCCACTAACCCATGTCCCAAAGCAATAATGCTGTTAAAATTGTCTTAAAAGGGAAAGGTAGGAATATACAACCTCTGAAAGGTTAAATGTAGAAAATATAGTAAAAGGAGCAAACTGTACAAGCATGACAATTAATTAAAAAGCCATTTTCCTAAATACCCTAATCTGGAAGTCTGCCAAAGCATCATATAGCCAAATCAGTACAAGGACAAGGTACAAAAGGAGTGTTTAGAAGAGAGCACACAATAAGAGAAACAACATAAATATTTTTGTGTGTATATGTTTACAGTGAAGGTTGTTGGAGGGTTTACCAGGGTAAAATTTGTCAGTAGAGATGTTCTCAAATACAATTGTCTGTAGAGGCCTAGAACAAAATGAACTTGAACTGTGGCAAAATGCCAGGACCAGATGGTTTTCACCCCGGAGCACTAGAGATGAAATCTCTGCATTACTGTTAGCACAAAGAAGTGGGACGTCTTCTCTGTTAGAGAAACAGAAGGTTGCGAAGGAGACATCAGCTTTTAAGGAGTCTTAGGGGAGACAGGGGGTGCGACACCTGAGCTTTAACATATCAGCCAAATTTACTGCAGATTGACCGGACACACTGCCGCCACTGCGATGAATGGGCTGCAAGCCTTTCTTGACCTGCCCGGCACCGCTGGCTGTCAAACCCGCGTTAGCTGCCACTTTCGCAGATTGAAGGTTCCTGGTCTGGCTAAATGGGAAGTCAAGACACAACTTGGGTCTTTTTTGTTAGCTTCTCTGAATTTTCTCCATTTCTTCTGCATCCTTTTGAGACGGGGAAGGAGGGTTGAAGGGAAGTCAAAACTGCACACAGGATTCAAGATGGGGGGCCACCATGCAGTTACATGTTGCTGCATAGTCATATTCTCTTTGATTTTATATTCCTTTCCTAATGTTTCTTAATTTTCCATTTGCTTCCCCAGCCATTACTCATTGCTGAGTGGATGTTTGCCTAGATCTATCTGTTTTAACCCCAAAGTCCTGCTCCTGAGCACCTAGGGTCAGCTCAGAGGCCTTAATTTTAAATAAGACTTTAGAATTGTTCCTCTATTTTAGATTAATCTGCCCTGGAATTTTGTCTTCTGATGCTCCCATCCAGTCACATCAGCTCCTTCTGCAGCTCTGCACACTTGGATCTCATCCCTACCATCCTGATTGTTCAGCATCACCTTCCCCACTCCCTCCTTTTCCAAACAATTTATAAATGTGCTGAAAAGCACACAAATCCAAGCACAAGTCCCTCTCCATTGTCACAAACAAACACTTAAATCTCCCCTCTCCTTCCTGGCTTTTAATCAATTATCTAGTCATGCAGAGACCTTCTTGAGCCTAGGGGAGCTGAGTTTCTTTAGAAACCTTTGGTAAGGAAACTTCCTGAAATCCATGCAGATGGTGTCTCCCCATCCACATCCCTGTTAGTGCCGTCAGAGAAATCCAGTATGTCTGTAAGGAACAAATCCTTTGCCAAAACCCCCCTGATTCTTCCAGGATGTCACATCCACCCATACAGCCGCTGACTCAACCTTTCAGAATAGTTTCTACTAATTTGCCTGGTACAGACAGGTATCAGGCTGCCTGGAATGGAGTTCCTGAGGTCATTTTTGGAAACCAATTAATCTCAAAGGCCCCATAGGATTCAAGGATGACTGCTCCCTGCTCCGGGCAGTTTCCTGGCATTCACCTGGTGGGTTTCTCTAAGCCGCCTTCTATCAGCTTATTTCAAAGCTCCAGCTCCAACACATTCTCCCACTGTGAGCACAAACTAATTTATGTCTCATACTGCAGCCTTTTTACTTCCAGATGCTCCTTTTCGCCTTGATCTTCTACTGGCTCTTTCCCCTCACAATCCATTTGAAATACAAATTACTTTTCATTTTGCTCTAGCAGAGACCTTCTCTTCTGCCTTATTTTGTCCTGCTCCTTTTGATGGTTCTGAATTTCTTTCTCTCCAACTGTGCTATAAAACCACTTTAGTTACAAAGCCAAGACACAGTTTGAAGATCAGCCAGGTGTCCTATACTATATAAAAGTATACTGATATACCCAAAAGATACGGACGTAAAAATTCCCACCTTCAGCGCTAAGTCTCTGGATGCTCCACACTGTGCAGCTTTTTCCCTTCAATGCTTGTTTGCTCCCAGAGGAAGGAAATGCCTCTTTTTGTTTTCAGCTAGGGCACACATTTGCTCTGAACCCCTCACTCGGGTGTCCTTAACCAATTTCCACATAACTTGCAAGGAGTTAACTCTTTCAGCCTCTTGTCCTGGCTTTGTTTCAGCCAGCTTTCTCCTTTTTTAGACAGTTGTCTTTTCTGAAATCCATCTTGCAGATGGTGGTTTGGGTTTTTTTTGCATTTTTTTTATGGTTCCTGCAGCAATGCTGGCCACAGTGTTGTGGTCGTCACTGCAGTGCATCTTACTCCTAACCAAGGCCAGAGCTGCTTCTCTGTGGGTTGCTAAATGGCTGATCTATGGAACGTTTAGCCCCTGCATTGCTTCCCAGTATGACTTTAATCCAATGTGGGAGGCTGGATTCTCCCTTTATGATTGTGTTTCCCCCTTTCTCTGCCTCTCTGTTTGCCTTTTGCAGGTCACAGGTTTGTGAAGTTCTTGAAGAAGAGCCTGAAAGAGTTCAAACCTGTCTGAAAGGTATCCAAACACCACAGCCCCCACCGTGACGCCGATGAAGAAGAAGGTTGCGGTTGCCTGGTTCAGTCCACGCTGCTCACACACGAGGTCCCACTGAAACACAAGGTCAAAATGACACTTAGTGCCCTTTTCACACCCCTTCCCCCTCGGTGCTCAGCCATCATGTCTTGCGATTTATATTGTCTGAATCTGATGGAAGGGAAGAATCCTGCGCTAAACGGCACATAGGAGCGTGCCGGATTCCTGAAAAGTGTAAACCTGCTACTTAAAAAACTCTGAGGTCTCCCACTGTGACAGCCCCTCTGTGGATGCTCTCTGGGCATCAGAAAGCTTTCCTGGGTACCACTCATCATGGAGAGAGCCCCTGTTCCTCGCCTGACCCCTGTGATAGCTGTTCTCAGCCTGCCTGGGTGCAGCTCTGCCCCAGCTCCTCCTGGCACCCTCCTGGGATCGTCCTGGGGAGATGGGCATTGGCAGGGTGCTGCAGGGCAGTGAGCTTAAGACATGCCTCGACCTTCACTGGGGAATGTTGTGTTGATGTCCAGTTACTGTTGCCCCGACCAGTTTCCTTTGAAGTTGTCTGTGCAAGGAGGAAGGCGGGCAGGTGGGGAGTCAGACCAAATACCTGCTCCTGATGCTAACTTACTGATTCCTTACTGGGAAGCTGGTCTAGACATTTTTCCTAATTAGGTTAATGAGCATCATCTTACTTCCTTGGAGGTACAAATGTTGCTAATCATTACAGAATGCTGTGCCCAAGCTGCAGAGTTAATTTTCTGTACGTGCAACCTTGGCAAAACTTGATTTAATCATCAGCCCAGCCTCGCAGCCTCTCTGCTGAGGCCAGCCAGACCTGGAGCAACCTTTCTTGCTGCAAGAGCAAAAGACTCCAGAGAAAGCCCTGGCGCCTTGGACATGTCCTGAAGCTACTGCGCTGTGGGTGCAGCATTGTGAGAATCCCTGCTCAGCATCTGTGCTGTGGAGCAGCTCCCCTGCCTTTTCCCCCAAAGGTGCTTTACACCTTTCTCCCTGAAACAGTGCAGAAAAACCGGTACCGACCTGGTGCACATCTGACCCTCGCTTCCGTGCCTGATAAAAAAATGGGGGGTGTTTGGGTGGTGGGGAGGAGGCACCAGCTCGAGGTTCAGACTTGCCGTGCTCTCACCAAGACAGTCAGCTGCTATCATTTCAAACCCAGCCGTGCTCCTCTTGTCTGACCAACTGTCCCCTTTCCCGAGACCTCCTGTGCTTTGGGCCACCTCTCCAGGAAGGTAAAGCATTAACACCTAGAGGTATCACTGTTAGGCTGAGCAAAGCATTTCAGAAAATGGATGGTTAATGTTTGCTGGGCAGGGACCTTGGGGTTCTGATTGGCCAGCGTGCTCCATCTCAGCAGAAAGCCCATGGAGGGCATGTTTGGCTTGACAGCAAGAGACACTGGTGGTGAGAGAAGAGGGGCGGCAAAATCTTGGAGAGCAGGGAGGAAGCCGGAGGAGGGGTCTCCAAGGGAACAGAAGTTACAAAGTGTTTGGAAAATCAAAAAAGCAAGTCGTGGCCTCATATGAAGTCCTGATAAGGGTGTAATCCTGTGCAAATGCCATGTGGTCCAGGCAGAGGAAATCCTGTATGTGTGTCTCCCCCACCCTCCAATCTCCCAATGACCTGGAGAAATTAAGATGCTTATAACAAGAAATGTTGGCTTCTAACTATCAATCTAAGCAAGATGCTTGGAAGAATAATAATGAAAGTCAGCTTCTGAGCTTCAGAGAGCTTCCCCACCCCAGGAAATCTCTAAACAAGTCCTTTCCACTGGTTAAAATTGAAAGATTCAGCTCTGACTCCGTGCACCCAGCTAATGATTCTTCATCTGGTCCTCAAATCACTGAGATAATTTCATTTTTGGCTAGGTCACAGGCCAGGCATTACCTGGGTGGAGATGGTGGAGGTGAACTGTGAGTGGTCATAGACCCATCCGTGCTGGCAGTTCTGGATGATGGAGTTGTTTTCTGGTTGCAGAGAGGAGTTGAGCAGCAGATGGAACTGAGGCTGCACAAACATCTCACAGGACCTGAAAGTGCCGTCGGGCTCCTGGGGGATGCTGATGAGCAGAACTTCCTCCGTGGTGAGGTTCACAAATGCCTCTTGGTGTGGAATTGCACAGTGGTGACGGGGAGTAGCAGCAAGAAAATTGTGCAGCAGGAAGTGCATGGGAAGGTTGATCCTTGGGAGGCAGAGGCTAAACAAAATAAAAATCTGGAATCTGCCAAAGCCACCAATTTCCAGCAGGAGATCCTCAAATTTCATCTTTTCTGTGGAGTTTGCTTATTCAGAGCAGCTGTATACCAAGGAGCAGCAACATGAGCTTGAAAAGCAGTCTCTGTCCTTGGAGCTCAACTTCCAACGGCTTTTCATACAGCCACTTTGCTGGACTTTGAGACCTTGCTGAAAGCTTGTCGAAAGTCACAGTGAAGCTCTCCATTTGGGACAGAGCCAAAGAAATTATCCTGTGTGCACACAACACGTCCATTCCCAGTGGACACAGCACAAAGTGCCCTCTCTTTTCAGAGTCCTTTTCTCCTGTTGCGGGATTTGAGAAGATCCACGTTAGGAAAGGAGGCTGTGGGAAGAGTGCTGTGAAAACACCACTGTTGCTAGCGTGGGGGTACCATCCAGCATCCCAGGTGCTGCAACAAACTCTGTCTGGTGTGAGTTGATCACCAGCCAGCGCTGCTGGATCATAAAATGCGCCCCCAGGAGAGCCGGGGCGGGGGGACCCACTCTGTAGGGATGCCCAGGGGCACCAAAGCCTGGTTCCTGTCCATCATCTGAGCGTTTTTTAGTATGGCTTGTGTCAAGTCGTGATCTGGGAGGGTGCCCAGAAGAGAAAAGAGTCTCTGGATAGGTGAAAGGGAGGTGAGCACTCTGGGGAAAAAGGGTGGGATGCAGGTGAGGGCCACCTTCTCACCAGTGTCCTCCAAAGGATGGAAGAAGTGAAAATGTTTCCCCACAGAGCCTTTCTCCACCTGGGAAAGTGCTTTCCCAGGACACAGGCAAGGGAGCGATGCTGTGCCTGCCGTATGGGGGGCTGTGACACGCTCCTGGAAGGTCACAGCCACGTGCTGCTGTGCTCTGGGGACTGATGGGAGAGCCAAAGGAGCGAGTGTGCAGTCCCTGCCAGGGCCACAGGTCCTACTGCGACCACCATATGAGCCCTGCACCATGGTTCTTCCACCGCCTGCTTCGGGAGGGCTTTCCTGGAAGAGGTGCATCTTTACTGTGAGTTTTTCTTCTTATGCACTGAAGAAGAAAACGAGCTCTTTATTCAGTCGGAGCCACGGCAGAACAAGAGCGGATGGTGCATCTGGGAGGCTGAGAGGTGGCTGGTTGTCAAAGGTGTGCAATACACGTTTGTACATCGCGCAGCTGCTGGGAAAAAGCTTTGACCCCATGGTGGCAGGGAGCAAAAAAATTGATGAATTTTTGGGGGAGTTACAGAAACAATGCCTGGAGAATGCAGCAACTGGGGAGATGTGGCATCAAAGCTGGCACAGCTTGGTTCACACAACCAACGTGGTTCAAAGAAGAGTCCCTAGTCCATGAACCAGGAACAAAAGAATCCATCAGGAAGTGGCAGGGCCAGGTGCCCCAGGCCTGCCAAAATTGACTGGAGGTGTAAAACCTCTTCAATGGGCAGCAGAGACCTGGCTGGAGGATGACTGGAACTTCAAGACAAGACAGACACAAGTCCCTGCCCCACAAGTGATCAAGCTTAGGCAAAAAGGATTAAATTAGGGCAGTTAAAATGGGAGCAGTGGGAGAAGGAGCTCTCCTCTGGAGATCCTGCAGGACCCTCTCCTGCAAGTCCCTTAACACTCTTGTCACCCTCTTGGGTACAAGACATGGGCATGCTTCCCTTGGAGCAAGTGCTCTGGACAGGCTGGACCCACGGGATAACGCATCCCAGGCGGTCGTGTCCCGACATGTTCGGGGAGCCGTGCGTCATGCAGCAAGAAGGGGCAGCACCCTGTTGCCCGCTCAAAGGCATTGAGCAGGATAACACCATGGTCTGGGGCTCACAAGGCAAAGGATGCCATGCTGTGACCTTAGGAGATCTTTGCTCTTTTCAGCAGCATTCCTGGTCACCCATGTTTAACTAATGTGCTGCCCCAGCCTTGGCTACGAGCCCTTTTGGTGCTCATCCTGGGATGAGTGTGAAGGAAACACACAGGAGGGAAGCAGGGACATCTGACAATGCTGTGCCTCCAAGGTTACAGTTTAAGCTCAGTTGTACTAAAGGACAAATTGTTTTTCTTCACCACTGGTCTTCTAAGAGCAAGGAACAGAAACTCTGATTGATGTGCTGTTGCATATTTAAATGGCAAAGCAGACCCAGCCTCTGCGTCAGAAGTGAGGCTACGGGTCAGTGCTCTGCAGCTCCTGGGGCTCTGCTCTTCATACCGCAGTTGCCTAAAATGTACATCAGCGTGTTGCTGCATTTCTCAAACCCAAACGCATTAATTTAACCAGTCACCAGATTGGTTAATGACTACCGTGCGTGCAAATGCTGGGAGTGACTGTGCCCTGCCACTTGGTTAAGTAGACCCAGGACCTGACTGAAATGGCTTGGACATGCTGCTCTTATGCGGGGTGCAGACAGCTCACAATCTTCCCTACTCAGCCACCGCCTCTGCAACCCCAGCTTTGGGGGATGTCTTGTGAGCAGGACACCAGCTGGCGAGGGCAGGAGGGACACTTTGCGACAGCCAGCATTGCCAAGGAAGGTCCATGCGGTGGCTTGCACCAAAGAGCTCCTTACAGCCACGTTCTCTGATGCACTCTCAGGCAGATTGACAGGGGGTGCAAAATTTTAACACATGGCTCAGAAGATGTGGAGCAAAAAGATGAATTAAGGAACTTCAGAAACTTGTGTACTGGGATGGATGGATCTAAAGGCATTAACTGCATGTCAGTAATTACATACATGACATCACCCTCAGCAGTTACATACATGAAAACACAACCTGTTTGCAGGTATATGAAATTGCCTAAAAATAAAATTATGTTGGAGTTTTAACCCAAAGCACAGATGTAAATTGAAAGCTGTCAGTAAGCATGCAGTTTGGGACCATGCATCTGTAATAGGAGGAGTCACAAAAACTGCATCCTCCAACAAGGAACAGGTTGGAAAGTGATCGTAGATAAATGCACTGTTCCTACGCTCTTTTCCAGGCTTCTTGCTAGTGTTGGAGATGGAGTATTGGGTGAGTTTCTTATTGATTCAAGGGGTCAAAGCCTGAGTCAGTTCCTGTACACCTGAAACTGCAAAGTACAGATGATCCCTACTCAAAAAAGGGCAGAAAAATCAGAAATGAAGTCTTGGTCACTGAAGATAGGAGCTAGGGGATGCTTAGGTTTAAATGAGAACATTGGTGTAAGGAAGGCATTTAGTGGAGGAAGATCAGTGCAGGAAAGCAGAGCAGTTCCAGTGCTGAAGGTGAAGGCAGCTCCCCTGGACACTCTGCAGCTTTTCTTTACTCTTTTTGGGGAGGAACACATTGGTAATGGCCTGGGAGGCGGAGGGAGGGCAGACGGAGCTGTGGAGCTGCTGGGATGTGATGAGCACGCAGCCACATGGGCAGAGAAACACTGGCAGGGCAGATGTTAGACCTTCCTTCACCCACTCAGTCATGACCTGCAAATCACTCTTGGCATCCAGGCTCCCCATCTCCTCTTTCTGTGGAAGAAACTGTGACAGTGCATACTGCCACTCCCACACCTTCACTGTCTGCACACGGTTTCCAAAAAATAGCGCTCCAGCCAGCGCCCTAGCCTGCTCCAAGCTCCCCAGGCAGCACTGCATGACTTTTTGATGTCAAAGCCTGGCACTTCCTTTAAGATACAGCATGTCAGGGCCTCATGGGCACTAATGGGTGTTAACCGCCCTCCACCTGCCACCCACATGCCTTCTGCTGATGGCCCAGGGCCTCATTTCAGCTCAGGCCTGGGTCTCCCATCCCTGCCTGAGCTCTGGATGCTGCATGGACCTTGGACCTGTCTTGTAGCCTTGTCTCCTGTCCCATCTCCTCCTCCAGACTGGGGTCCCTGGTCCCAGTTCATCCCCTCGCTGTGTCTGGGGCTGTTGATGGACCCTGTTGCACCCCCAGCTCTGATAGCCCATGGGACTGATGGGGATGGCATGGCCAGTGCTGCAGTCCCCCCAATTCCTGGCTCATCGCCTCCTCGTGCTGCTCCTTGAACTACTGGGTGTGTGTCTTGAGCTCCCTGTCACCGTTTTACTTCCCACGGGATTATCCGCTGCAAGTGACAGTGATTTAATCAGATGGTGCCTCACTCCAGAAAATGTTTGATCCTGCCTTGGCATCCTCCAGGGATGGGGCATCCACAGCTTCTCTGGGCAGCCCGTGCCACTGCCTCACCCCCCACACAGGAAAACATTTCTTCCTAATGTCTAGTCTAAATCTCCCCTCTTTCAGCTTAAAATTGTTACCCCTCGTGCAGCCACACGTCACACGTGCAGCCCCCGTCTACTGCGCTGACCCTGCTCTGAGCAGGGCTGTGGACCAGAGACCTCCCAGCTGGAATTATCCTAGGAGCCTATGAACACTACACCACGAGGTTTTGGACTAGCTAGCCCGTTACTGGGAATCTCACCAGCTAAGGGTGGGTGGTGAAGCCCCTCCAGCAACCCCTCCTGCTGGCAGCAGGTCCGTGTGGTTCTGCAATACTTCTCAATTTCCCAGCTGATGCTGCTTAGCTTTGATTTTCATCTGCCTGTTCCTGACGTAGACATTCAGGAGCCTCTTAGATCCCAGGGTTTCTTTCTATGGATTTAGATTCTGCACTAGACTCAGTTGTATTTTCTTTTGGCTATAGGAGAATAAAATCTGTCATCATAGTAACATCAAGGCAGCCCTTATTTTTTATTTTTTTCTTCACTCTCACCAATTTTTCCCAGGTCTTTAAAGCTGAGAGGAGCTGACAGTGTTCTCCTGTCAGACTGGTGTACCCAGAGGAGACTAAGCTTTCTGATGCTCCTCATTGCTCCGTAATTGGATTTACCATGGGCTACTTTATCCCAGCTCAGCTCAAGTGTGTCCTGGGGCTCAGGGGCAGCCTGTGAACTATGCAGCTCAGCATATAAATGTGGAAATGGTGCGTTTTGGGATATTTAGTCAAATGCTGTATGTCATTAGCTATGCAATGTAAAAAAAAGAAGCCACTGTATTTGCCTGACAAACCCGAATTCCAGAAAATCTGGTACAAATTGTATTCTTACCCTGTAGTTTTTTTATCACCTGAAATCTCGGACAAAGTGCTCATTTGTTGTGTTAGACCATGATGATGCTAGCTGAGGTATTTTCCCC